AGGCTGAAAGCATTAAACTCTTATGGCTGCTCTTCGTGAATACACTGGTTTTATCCTCGTGCATTTCTAAGAGTTATAATCATACACAGGCAACCTGCTAGCTTAGAAATCTAAACAAATCGTAGCAGTGGCTAAAGATTTAGCTCTGCAGGTCCCTCTAGTGATGCTCCATTGTAGCCTCGGCAGGTCTACTATTGGACAAAATACTATTGTATCTTGTCAATCACAGCGCTCTGTCATGACTCCCATCCTTCACCCTCCTCTGCCTCATTTCACCTTCATTCAGCTCACCTGGTCCCTTCACCAAGCTCCTGACAAGCCCTGTTTCCCTGGAAACCACAATCAACTCCATTCTTCTCACCTGTTCCTGTTATCAGCTTCATCCACTTCACCTGCTCCTGACTCCTCAGCTCATTTCACACACCTGCTTCCCCTGCTATAAAAGAACTATCCTGCTATCCAGTCTCTGCCAGATTATTGAAAATATTTGCCAGTAAATTCTCCAGCACTCCAACCTCTGCCTGTACCATAGATCCTGACCTCGTTTCTGTTCCTTGACCAACCCAAGTGCCTGCTCCCTGCCTGGATTGTTTACTCTGCCTCTGACTATCTGGATTCTCTACCTCAGCCCATTCTCTGGATTCTGCCTCCTGCCTGCTCATTGTAGCATACACGGATCTATCTGGTTTTGACCCTCGCCTCCTCTCCTACTCTGTCTCCAGCCTCGCCCACCTGGTAACTCCACAATAAATAAAATACTTTTTAATATATTTTTACTGTGTTTGGCGTCATTACGGGTCTTCTGAGTTCAGCTCATGACACGCTCCAAGTTTTTTGGGTGGGCTTGGCACCAGAGTTGCAACAGAGAAGATCTAGAAAGATGCCGTCGCTTCAGGAATGACGCTCCTTTGAAACGGCTTTGGCGTCAACTTTGGACGATTTGGACTTGACCTTTTCTTTGAGAAGTGAGCATATTTTTTCTTCTAAGGTGTGTGGCGGACTACCCCACTGACTGATTTCTGTGGCGATGAAGCATCATGTTTGCTGCCCTGATTGCTCCTTGACAATCTGAAAGACAACTGTAGATTCTGCCCCAAGACTGGGTGGTTTCATGGGTCGTAGCCCGACTCTATATTTATATTTATAGGATGGCTTACAAGGCTAGCAGCAAGCTTCTCTAAGGTAGAGTCTGTGTGACCAATTTGACCTTTTTATCAAGAAAACATCACTTTTCAGACAGAGAAGAAGAAGAAAAAAGGATGACGATTTTGTATATATTTTCAGCTTTTTTTTTGTAAATTATGTATGTTTCCTTTGTTTGAAATAAAAATGAACTAACTCATAGTTTGTATAATCTCCAGCTTTTACGCCTTTGTCCATCTAGAAGAGCTGGAGCGTTTGACAGATGGAAGCAAAAATCTACAGAAGGCAGGAAAAACTCAAACTGCCCCAACAGCTTCTATCTTTAGTTCATAGGTGGGACGGGAACCCCGGAGCTTCCTCTCTCAAGGAAATCCACAATAGCATGTGCTCCCTAGTCTCTCTCTGAATGAAGAGGAGAAGTGGCTGGAAAAATCTACCTATCTCAACACAGAAAGACGTAAATTTGGTTTAAAGTGGTAGAAAGGACTGTGTGAAAACTGAATGAAATGGTCTGACGATGCAGAATAAACGAAAACCAGATGAAACCACATGATCTGATTTGTTTATGAATACCTGGCTCGCCGTCAGGAGAAAATAACCACACAATTTCCCAACATAAAGGAGTCATCATTCCTTCCAAATACTTTCTAAGTTCACACTCAAACCAGTGTCTCGGGACGGTGCTCTCTGCAAAACAGGAAATGGTCTATTTTGTTTTCAAACGTGCACCCCGAGGGCACACGTATATTCCTACCGCTGGGAAGGAAGAAGGATTTCTGGTAGCTTGGGTCACAGACTCTTGGGCAGAGTAACTGTGCCATGCACTTAGAGGAGACGAGCCCCCCCTTCCTCTCGAGGGGTTGTGGAGGGGTGCAAAACAGGAAAGCACCAAAGTCGAAGTGTTCAAGCCCAAACCCGGCTTTCAATCATAGCTCTGACACAATGGAGACAGGAGCAGTAACCAAAACGAAACGGGACCAAGGAGGCATTAACGGGAAGTGAAAACAAATGACCAAGCAGTGATATGAAATCCTGCACAGGGCCTTGCCTGTAGATAATCACTCATTTCTATTATTTGCACACCCCCTGACCTTGGTTTTATAAGAGAACGACAAAGAGCCGATCCCTGAGACTTCTACGAGACGGATGGTGTGTCCAACAGTTTTAGATTTTGTTCTAATCATGACTAATGGGTCACTGATGAAGTTCTGACACACAGTGTCACACGTCTAGTAAACGAACACAGAGTGGATCTGAGCGCTGCGCTCCTCGTTGGGAAAGATTAATACACCTCTAATTCCTACAGGTCAAAGAAGCCATTTAGCGGTTTCCCCAAAACATTATGTCTGGAAATTTTTAAAGATTCCAGAGAGAATCAACGATTACTTTTTCTATAGAGAGAACAGGTGACCCCAGTTCATCTCTAACTTAATAATAATCTAACCATCTCTACCAAACACAAATTCACCACAGAATAAAGCATTTTACATAAAAATAATACGTTGAAACTAAATTAAAGAACATAAATCTTCAAAATCTAGCAGAAGTGATTTGAATTATCAATGAAATCAGACATCTTAACTTGATAAAGCGAATTTTCACCTAAAACACCAGAGTAACTCTAAAACTCAAATAGAGATCTTCACACTAGGGAACGTCACGGTGCATTTTTCAGCCGGGCTGCTTCATGTCCCACTGTGTGAGCTCTAGAAAATGGCGTGTCACACCCTCAGTGTATTTTTATTGGTTGATTACAGTAACAATATCTTCCCCATCGCGGGTCAAGATGAATGGTAGGCGACAGTGTGACGTAGATCTGTCAGGCTTTTCAAATCCTAGAGTTTCACCATCCATTTTCTATCAGAAGCTAATTAAAGAGACAGGTGTAGGAGACTATTTGTTATATTCGGCCAGCATGATAAACTCAGAGTGACTGATTATAATCAGAATTTTTTTTTAAATAGTTTTCCCGTGAAGTACCAGTTTAAGGAAAAAGGATCACATTTTATAAAATACATGTATGTGTGCAGGAAAAGGCTTTAACAGTCACACCAATAAAAAATTAATAGTATTATTCTTTACATTTTTAAGACATATGTGGCAATAAAAACCTCAACGCCTTCTAATAAAAAAAAACAAAAAACAAAGCAAACTAGAAAAAAAGCTGAAAATTATTACTGACTCCATAATATACATGAACATATTTGCAAACCACGTTATTAATCTACAAAATCTTGGTGTTAATGGAGATTTATCCCAGCATATTTACCTCTCCTGCTCTAAATGAAACGTGCAGCATAAATTAACTCCAAATTTCCTGTAACTGACTTTGGCGAGCCTGTCCGCCTCTCCTGCAGCTGAAGCACGTAAAAATATTGACTTACTTAATTATGAACCGGCATTTAAGTCAATTCACAATGTGTGTACAGTTCAACTGATCAGTTCTGGTAAAGCTGCTCAGATTAAAAGTACAAATATTTGGGAGGGACATCAGAGGATGTTTGGATAACCCGTGGTGGAGAGCTGTGATATAAAACTGTCTGGCAGCGGCTAAAGGCTGCTGGATAAGACTTCAAAACCAAAGATTTTTTCCCCTGAGATTCTTTTAATCCTAGCTTTAGAGATCTATTCACGCTGTTTTCAACATACAGCAAAAGTAATAGAATTTCTTCTTTCTTTTACTTTAGTTTCATGTTCAGTATGAACTGCATTAAAGAAGGGATTTAACACAATACACAGGATATATGTAAACAAAATACTTTTAGACCAAACAATAATAAACTTAAAGGGACTTTACGGAGTTTTGAATTTTTATGCACACGATTGCCCCCTCAGCCCAAAAGCGTAACAGCAGCTTCAATAGTAGGCTCGTGCACGAGGCGCGCATGCTGTACGTGCACACTCCTTAACGAAAATAACAGCTGAGACAGTCCCTTGTGTGTGTGCGTGTGTGTGCGTGTGTGTGTGCGTGTGTGTGTGTGTGGCCCGGAGGACAGGAGAACGTGCAGCTAATTAATTAAATAATTTGGTTCTGTACCTTTCTCTTCAGCACAGCCGACAAAGGTTTAAGATGGGTCAGTCTTCCTGCATGCTCAGATCATTCCCTTCCCTTGCTTGAAAAATTGTTCCAAAATGAAAGTTGAACCCACATCTTTTTTATCTGTGAATTCAATGCCGTTCGGCGAGTCTCAAATAAAAATGTGGGCATCTTACTGTAAAAAATATACCATTAACGTAAAAAATAAACTCTAAATAAACTATGTTCACATCCAGAATCGAACCAGGGTCTTCTGCACGGGAGTCCATAGTCTTATTAGATGAGCTATAGCACCAGTGACGTCTTTTGTATCTGTAATGTTTATATCCTTGATGACAGCTGAAACAACGTTCAAAGATCGGTTTGTAGCGAAAATGGCTATTTTGTTGCTAATTTGCAGGAAACATCTAGAAGAAAGTAGCTAAGGGTCCTCAGAAATGTAGCTAGGTTCATCACTAGGCGTTAGGAACAGCACTACCTCTCTCTCTGCTGCTAAAGCTACGGATAGCAAATGGTACGGGCGATGCCTGAGCGTGGAAGCAGCCTGCTCGACCCGAGCATCTCTCTTTTTTCTGTGATTTTACAGAAAAACAGGCAATCACAGTAAAAATGCCAGGGCTCATTCTACAGGACCAGGGCATTGCAGGAGAATGTATGAAGAAGACATTTATTATTTCTATACATGTTTTGGCTGTCAAACTTCCATAATGCCCCTTTAATATCTCTGCACCTTAGGATTAGTATATAATAAAATATTTTCCACTGATGCCACCCAACAGGCTGTGCACAGTCATCCCTCTTGAGAAATTTATCATCTTACCTCCGATTGCACTGCACCTGGAGATGATCTCCCACAGAACAAGAGCCATGGAATAAACATCAGCCTGTTTGAAAGACTCAATGTTTTCCAGATTGATTCTGGACTCCAGCAACTCGGGGGCCATGTATCTTGCTGTGCCCACCTGAAACAAAATGGAGGGGAATGAGATTTACATTCCTGAAGCGCACAGGAAGTCTCAGCTGCGGTTACTTTCATAAAAAAGCCTCAAGCAGAGCTTATTTGTTGTGTTTTTACCTGCAGTGATTTAATGGGAGTTGGTCATCTTCCTGCATATGCATTAAGGTGTCACAACACACTTATCTGAATCAAAACAAAGCTGATGTAGGGGGTAATTGGAAAGCAAAGGTGGCCTCGAGTTTATCAGTGCAATGCTTGCCTTTGCAGGTTATTAGTGAATGAAAATGGAGCTTCCTTTAAATGCATTAGGGGCATTATAATGCATTAGTTGTGCTGTGCTGCAAAGGGTGAGCCCTTTGTGTGATGAGTCATTTTCAAAACAGAGCGTAAAGTGGCTCTGGACGATTACTTCAGTATATTAAGTCCATTAAGCCTCAATCCAGCATATTTATCTTGTGACTATAAAGAAGCAACAACCTGAGGGCACAGTCTCCACCACATATATCAGCCTTTTTTTATCTGATGCCAAACATTCAGTCAAAAAAATAATAAAGTGTAACCCACAGCGTGACTCTGTCATAAAGAAAGCCTTTCAGAAATGTAATAAGAATATATTGGATCCCTGCTGAGATTGAAGTAGACTCTAAATCCGACGTTTGAGGCCTTACCTGCCCGCTATTGGCCAGCTCATCCACAGACAGCGTGCTGTCCAGCCGCAGAGCCAGGCCAAAATCACAAAGACAGCATGTCAAGTCCTTTTTCACGAGGATATTGGAGCTCTTAATGTCCCTGTGGGCGATTGGCACCTTACAGCGGCCGCAGGAAGTCTGGTCACTATGAAGGTGTGCCACACCGCATGAGAGTGAACTTCCGAGCAGAATCATGTCGTTTAAGCCGATAACGTGATGGGTCAGGTACTCTTGGAGGTTTCCTAGAGGCTGGTAGGCTGTGATCAGCCAGTACTGTCTCTGCACTTTCCTTTCCTCTGCTGTCAGGAAGTGAAGCACGTTCTCTTGTCTCAGGTCCGCGTCTGAGAAAATGTCCTTCTCGTTCTTCCAGGAAGCGTACTCCTCATAGGAGAAAATCTTCACTGCCACCGTCTCAAAGCCCTGCTCTTCGCTGACTGAGGAACCCTGCTTCAGTTTGGCTTTGTAGACCTCAGCAAAGCGTCCTTTACCTACCAGAACGTCCAGCTCAATGGGCAGCAGCTCTGTGTTATGGTTCAGGTTGTTGGCGTGTGTGGAGCTGCTATCAGAGCCCTCGATGTCTATTATGGGGCGAGCGTCGCTGAAGTCCAGCGGCGGTACTTTCTTGTGCCTGGAGTGGGCTTGGCGCTGGCGGTAAACCCGGTAACAGTAGAAGAAGGTGATGACAACAACGGCCATCACTAGGAGAGGGACCAAGCTGACTATGATGACAGCCCCCACCTGGGAATCTATGAAGGAAAACAAGATTTGATGGTTTTCAGATTTATTGTTTAGAAATACAACCATCCAGCTCTGACGAAGGCCAGGTTCCTGTGCAACAGAGGTTTAGTAAGGCCCGGTACACACAGTCACACCATATATTGACCCAATTTCCCCTTACGACAATCTTAAGGACATGCTAGCTTATCATAATGGTTCTAAAGATAATCTTATCAGATATTCCTGCCGTATGTGAAGTGTTAAGAGCGCTGTGGCCTGCTAAAAGGTGGGACAACTCAAATAATAAATCCAGGCTTTCAAATGTGTGCTGCCTATTTAATGTGACGTGTAGCCAATCAGAAAGTAAAGTAATGGAGCCATGCTGCTTGCTCCTTCTCCGCCATATTTGTTTACTCCAAAGTAACATTTGATCTTGTGAGACTTCTCGTCTTTTTTCTCTGCTGTATTTATTTAATTATTATCACCATGCAGGCAGTCTCATGTTCAAATCGTCCGACAGTTTAAAAATCCTGGCCTAAGAATATGAAAACAACAATACTGAAGCACATGAATGCATTTTATTGGATGCCCACCTATTGAATAATCATCAACCTCTGACAGGCAGGAAATTATATTTTTTCTTGTTTGGCTGTACTAATTTCTCTGTTAGTAAAACATTAAATGAGCCACTGGAGTGATTTTAACTAAACAAACTATTTTAAATTATCTATAATTGAAAGAGTCAACCTAATTCAAGACTGCCGTCACAGTGAGGCTGACTTGCAAAAAAAAAAATCCAAAAATAGCTTCAACTCAGTTGATTTTACTGATACAGAGCTAAAATTCAGTATTATTATTATAGCATATAATCTGTAACACATAATCTGATATGAAACATTTCGGCACTGATAAGCTAACAACAACACTAATCTGCCTTTGTTTGCTTTTTCTTGCGTAAAAATTTCAATTTTGATGTTTTATCTCCACAAATAGCGCAAGTAGAAGCTAATGGTTAGCTTCTACTAGCTGAGACACGCTACTTTCTCCCAGCTCCAAAACCAATCCAGTCTTCTATGATCACAAACCAAGGCCATGAATGCTAATAATCCCTGAGACGTAGAAGAGCTTTTTCTGATTCGACTGTTTTCCCATCTAATTCCTTTTTATGGCTAATGCAAGTGATGGAGGTTGGAGAAATTTTTAAGATTCAACATTCATATGCAACTCAGAGTGTTTCTCAGTAAACGAGCTCTTTAAAATGATTTTCAAGCTTAGACAAACTGTCGTTTATCAACATAAATGTACGAGAGCATTCTTCAAGATATTCTAAACCTTTAATTATAAAAGTTACTGCTGTTGGCTTTCATGTGCAAAGGACATGAAAGCGCTTCACTTAAAAGAAACCTGACGCAGATGGTTATTAAAATGCTACAAACTGTAGAAAACAAAACATCAACTTCTGAAGACCTTTCTGTCAAAACCCCAATTACAGGTATTACGGGTGGCTCCCATTAATTTAACCTGTCAGAGGCTGTGTGTGTGTGTGGCTTTATGTTTATAAAAATTCAGTTTCTGATGAACAAGAAAATTATAGACCAAAGTGAAAGATGCAATATACTTTTGGTGATTCTTGAGAGGTTGACTGATGTGGCTCTAAAGTCTTAAACATGTTGATTTTTGAGATGTTTATGAAACTGTGTTGATGCTAATTCAGATTAGTTTCTGACAGATGGTTTAAAAGTCTACAGTAATATCCATAAAACAGCAGAAGAAGAACAGGCCCTTTTCTGTGGAATGTCCATTAAGGTTGCCGTCTGGACCACAAATCTAGAAACTCCTCCCAACTCTGGCCCAGTCAGCCACATATTGTGTCTCTGGATAGTGTGTGTTGTATTTTTATATTTTAAGAGGCGGTGTATTTAAGTTGCAGCAGATGGTTGCTGATTGTGTCGTGTTTATAGGACCTATATAGAAACTACAGCACTAAATCCAGCTCGGTAAACAAGAACAAGCTGAAGCTCAGAGAGATTCTTGCTAGTGGGTACCTCATGTCAAACCACGAGTTCAATTTCATTTAAGAACTGACAGATAAAGTTTAAGGGGTCAGTGCAGACAAAGTGGCAGAGTCAGGTGGAAAAGAGGAAGGATGATAAATGTAAAAGTCATCTAGCCAGCTGCCCTACCAAGCCCTCTACGTCTCTATAATTTTTTTTCTAAACAGGAAACCACATGTCTGAAAGCCTCCATGGGGCCCCAGCCAGACAGTTTGTTTTGATTTTGTTAGAGTGGAAATCTTTCTGTAACAAACCTGTTGCTGTGCCTCCTGAACGCTAGCCTAACTGCTCAAAGCAAACCCACCGAGTTGTTACTTTTATCATTTACAATTTTTATTTACAATAAAAGTAATCTTTCTCTAGAGATGAGTTTCAGAGATTTACAGTAGATAAGTGGCAAGACAGATGGTTGGATTAGGGTTAAAAAGGCTGATTAAATTAACAACACCATGCCAAATAAGGGTTTAATCTATAAAAACGTGCCAATAATATATTCAGATATTTAAATGCTAAAGAAAAGGATCAAGGGCAGCATTTGTGACTGTCTAGCGTTTGTAGTAGTCAGTTTTTATCAACCTTTCACACCACGACCTTTGCCCTCTTTCTTTGCTGCTTTCTATGCATCAAAAAAAAAACTTGCTAACTTTCAACACGTTTCCACATCAGTTTTCTTCAAAGCAGACGAATTTACACTTAAAATACGACATTTTCTATGCAACTGTTAGCAAACACTCATCACTGGAACATATATATATATCACCAGCTGTCTGATTCTGGTGAAAAGTATCTACAAAACCATGTCTACAATATTTCATGTGTAACGCGGATGTGCTGAAGCATGTTTGGTCACACGTTCAACGAAAACAAGCCCAGCCACCCACAGCTTTTCTGCTTATTATGCTAAAAGCCCTCCAGACAGCTTTGTACTTGAAAAATAAAAACACAAAACACAAAACCTTATCTAGACGTCAGCAATGATACAGAATAAAAAAGGCACATTGTTTTATAATAGGTTTAAAAAACGTTTTGTATGGTTTAAACATTTTAGCCCAATACGGAATCTTCGAAACTCTAAACCACCACTGATTCAATAGATCGATTCACTTCAGTTCGCTGGTATTTTCGAGGTTTAGTGTGCATTTCATCTGGAGTTGATTTTATCACCATGTCCTCACAAAGTTAGACACAGCACAGACATTCTCAGCAGTGTGCAAAGGCATTTCCATGACGTAGTTTCGCTGCACAGATGCTTTTAATTTCTGTTCAGAGCCAGGTCTTGGAAATGTACCTCGTGTTATTATTATTATTGAGAAGCTGCAGCTGAAACACTTCTGATTCCAGAGTCTCATAAACCTGTTTTTTATGGTCTAAACAGAGTAGGTGTTGGTGTTCATGCATGAGAACTGGCATAACATCAGGTCACCCGTGAAAATGACGTTAGAGTAACGACACTAAGCAAAGGTTCTGATCTAAAGCTGAGGTGGTCTACAATGGAAGGAAAAGAAGTGGTCTAACTCAGATATAGACATTTGCATTTACCCCTCGCCCGGGGAGTAATTCCATGTGCCAGGCTAGTAAATGTTTGCATGTTAAGTCTAAAACGATTGATAGATGGCTTTTAAATATCGAGTCAGTATCGCAGCACAAAATATTGCAATATTTCAGTATCTTGATATATTTTTTTCCATCCCTAGAAGATGGTATAACGATCATAAAATGCTGTGAAATCTAAAGAGATTGGAGTCATTTTAAGACAGCAGGTGTCTGCTTTGGAATTGGTTCGATTCCAACGAGCCTCTTTTTAGCTCATCAATACAATCTGAATCATTCAGATTTTATTTGGAGATTGGATCCATTCAATGGATCCAACTCATAAGCTAGTCTGAACCCAGCCAAGCACAAAGCTTTTTGTTGCTGTTTTAAAATAACACCACTCTCCAAAATTTCACATAATTATTTTTAAAAACATTTAAGCTACTCTCTATTTTACAAAAACATAGAGAAATTCACTAGCAACCTGACATTAGCAGGATGCTCGACCATCACTGGACACCAGAACAAAAAACTCACTTTGGTTAAAAATGACGAGGGCGTTACACTCTTCATCGGAGCAGGAGCAGATGAAGAACTGCGAGCCCATGCCCTTTTTCTCTTTCATTTCACATTTGCTGCTGTTGTAATCCTCCAGCATCAGGCCGTAGAGTTTATGAGCTGGATTGTGGCACACCGTATCAAAGGTGGCGTTGTCATCCTTCTTCCTCCTTCACAGAAACAAAAAAACCAAAAAGCACTGAAAACACCAATGGTCATTGATTGGGTTTGATTCTAAATCAAATGATGAATCGTATAAATATCAGCTGAAAAGGTTCAACACTGTGCAAATAATGGGTTTTTTCCAGCAAGGAAGTGACAGAGCCGAAGCTCTAAATGCCATAGCCCGTTTGTCTCTTTCAGCTGCATTACATCATAAGTATTATGCAAATAATAGCAGCACGAAGGTACAATATAAACGAGATAAAAACTGATTCTGCACAAATCCGCATATTGGAATGCCCAGTAGGGAGTACTGGCTTTGCAGTGCTGAAAGATGATTTAAAGAAGCGATACTGTCCATGTGTCATTAGCTTTCTGCTAACCTCAGCTCATAACGTACCCGACACACTGGGAATTTAATGAGAAACAGCAGAGTGGCCTTAAGCTTTTAACACCAACACAAATCTGCTTCCTGCTGCTTTGTTCGTTTAAAGTCGGATGTGATGCTGTTGTACATTCCAACTGTCTTCAGCGGAAAGAAGACCATCAAAGGGTTCAGGAAACTAACCTGATTGGATTAATAAGGACATATATATCTTCCTTTAGTCTGTAAAAATATTTTATTAGCACCTGGCTACATCATAATCTTTTGTTGATGTTCAAAACCATAACACCACATCTGAGACAAGAACACGGTACATAAAGCTGCTTTTACCAAATAGTAACACACACGTCGTCCTCATCGGGGCAGATGGACGTTCGGTCACACTCTACGTGGCAGCTCCCTGTACCTGTGCAGGTGGTTTGCTGCTCATCACAAAATTTGCACAGACCTTTCACCTTCATTATAGAGTCCCCTGGAACAGGAAGAAATGGAGACAAGTAAGCAAACACAAAACTAACTCTAGAACACACAACAGGCTCAAAGTCACTTACTTCCATACTGTTCTTTGGTTTGTAAACCCCAATATTGTCCCCAACCCAAAGAAAAAAACTCACAGAGCTTCATTGTGATGGACTATAATGGTTTACATTGTATGAACTGGAATTGCAGGGAAGAAAGACAATAATTCACTGGAGGACGGAGGTATTTTGGAATGTGTGTGTCAGTAGAAGCAAATATTTGACAGAAGACCAAAAGTATTCCCTCTCAGAGGGGGTTGGATGCATTTTTTCCCAGTGAAGTCTTCATTTGGTCTTGTTTGGACTTGATGCTACCAGCAGGCACGCTCAGATTAGCCAGCCAGACTAGGATGTGTGGATGAGTGACTGAGTTTGATGATCACCTGAGACAACAGACAGGCAGGCAGGCAGGAAGAACAAAGGAAGCAGAAACGCATCTGCTAAGAGGTCTTTAATTTTCCCCCCGATGAAACTAGAAACGTGTCATGGCACCAATAAAAGAGGGTGGGGTGGGTGCAGGTGGAGGAAATGTGTTTATCTGCTTTTATTGCTGCAAAACTTGTATTTGTTTTAGTGTTAAATCGCTTTTAATGGAATCAAATCAGTAAGAAAATATCCTGAGATAAGCTAAGGAAGGGAGGGACTACACGCAACTGACTACATTCACTGATAATGGAAAATTATGAAGTTAGGGAAAAAACACAAATTTATAAAAAGTTCCCAGCATTAATATTAGTTATGGCTGATAATCAATAATACAATTCAAATTACACCTACATTTATAATTACATATGTACACATACACACACACACTTTTATGCTTATGAGATGATTACCATCACTGTCACATGACCAAAGATTTACTGTGTGGCCACCCCCTTCCCCCCAAAACAGCTACGCAAACAGCAACTAAATGCTAATAAATATCGGTTGTTCATATCGGACCGGCTTTAATCATCAGACTGATACAATGTTAAAAAACGACTAACATTGGCCGATACCGATGGTGGTATATTTAGCATCCCTATTTGAAACATGGAAATATTAAATTTAGAGATTTAAAGGCCTAAACCTAACTACTAGTGATATGGCATATATGAAATAATTGAATCTTTTGAATGGCTTGTCACTGTGAAGAATGAGAACTGAGTCCTTGCAGATAACCTTTTTTTAATTAACTAGAGGAGTGTAATCATCAAGGATGCAGGCATTCGAGTAGTGCGAACTATCCATTTCTGCTTTACAACAACTAGTTTCATTTAAAGACAATTTAGTGTGTGTGTGTGTGTGTGTGTGTGTGTGTGTGTGTGTGTGTGTGTGTGTGTGTGTGTGTGTGTGTGTGTGTGTGTGTGTGTGTGTGTGTGTGTGTGTGTGTACATGTACCGCTATCCTACTTAGGACCAGAAATGGCATATTCACTAATCTTCTGAAGACAGAAGACCAAAACCAGGTCCTCATATGGCGGACACCCTGTTTTAGGCTTAGGGGTGAGGTTTACACATAAGAGGTGAATTGAGTTTTTGTTACAGTAAAGTTGAGGAATACACTGGTTATGGTTTGGATTAGGCATAAATGTAGTTACTAAAATAAATGGAAGTCAATACAAAGTCTTAATATGGATAGAAATGCAAGATTGTGTGTGTGTGTGTGTATGGATAGAAATACAAGATTGTGTGTGTGTGTGTGTGTGTGTGTGTGTGTGTGTGTGTGTGTGTGTGTGTGTGTGTGTGTATTTCAAAAGAGCCTGTCCTTTAAATGCCTCTTTGAGGCGAACGACTCCTGTCAAAGAGCCATAAGTGTCATCACTGTAAAATACATTTGCTTTTTGTTTTAGTTCCTGTCTAGCTTACGTAAGTCTAAGTCTTACTCTAAAAGTGTACGTGTTAAAGTTTTGCTTTATCCTTAAAAAGCTCTACCTACATTTTAGATAGAAAGATTGTGTTTTAAATTTCTGACATTTATTATTATTAATTTGTTTCAGATACTTTTTATCTCTTTTCCTGTAAACTTAGGATCCAAATTCAGGAAACTTTTTTTTTATCTAGCACAAGTTAGAATTTGACAAATTTTACATTTTTCTTGTAAATTCACTAAAATAGCTCTAATCTGCCATCTTAGTCTTGTATGCACATACATTAAAATCTAATAAAAACAAACAAAACATGCCACTGCTATGATTTAGCGATCTAAGACCCAATCCCAATACTCGCACTTCCACCCTTGCGCCTTCCAGTCCAGGGGTGCGAATGCGTAGAGTGTCCTGTTCCTTAATTGTAAAAGTTGACCACGTCCCCTTTTTCACCCTCAATCCGCACTTTCCTAAAATCTGCACCAATGCAGACTTGGGCGAAGGGTATTACCCATAATCCAATGCTGAGTGGGAATTTTGAGAAGGAGGCAGAACAATGGCTTTATTGCCTTTTCTGAAAATATGTATTTTCAAACAATAGAAGTTAATTTTAAAAATATTAATATTTAACCGTGCTCTGAATGTTTTAGACTAATGTTTAATGTGAACAGCAATTAATTAAATAATAGTTAATTGTATGATTGAAAACTGTTAAAGATTTTTTATAAAGTAGCACAAACTGCGACCGGCATGCGTCATGGTCGATAACGCAACGGTCACTGTCCCAATTTGGCTATTTTTTGCACACTTGTGTACTGCACACTCGAAGCCTTACTGCGCACTTCCTCCAAATGTACTTTGCTGAGGACAACAGGGTGTACTGGGATTGGGCCTATCCTTAGGACTCAATGTGAATTAGAAGTCATTTTTCCTTGTGCAGCTGTGTATTGAACACATTATGTTAGACCAAATCGATATTTAAAATAGGGCTGCTCGATTATGGCAAAAATAATAATCACGATTATGGTGACTGAAATTGAGATCACGATTATTTAGGACGATTTTTCAATTTATGTTGATTTTATTTGTTTTTATTCAGTCATAAAACTGCTCAGGGCACAATCAGGACAAAAATAAGAAACAAGATGATCACTAAAAGAACTCCTGATTCCCAGGATAAAAAGACCAATATACTTATAGCTCATAGTCTATGACCCAAGGGCTATAGACCTTGGTTTAACTCATGTAAGTCTAACCAGTACAGACCCAAATACCAATATCTTGCAAATACTGACAGCAAGAATTATACAGAGGCATTTATAACAAATAAATGCAAATAAATTGATGTTCACAAAATGTTACATAACATTTATTGAGTCGTGTCAAGGTGCTGTAGCACTGTGTCCTCAGAGAGATTAGTTATCAGCGTGAGGAACTTATTTCTACCTTATTTATAAACTATTTATTTACAGGCCCATCAGTTAATGTAATAATTATCCCGACCACAGCTGCACCCCCCACCCCCCCCACCCCGGTCTCACAGCAATCGGGCAAGCTGCACGTGTGTTTAGCACGCCGCACGCGCACATTTAGCTGTTTTTAGCTGCTCAGGAGACCGCAGGTGCGGTGTGTGTGTCACTCACTCTGGTTAAGCCAACAAGGAGCCGGCTCCGAGAGCTGTCTTTAGCGACCGACACATCACTGCATCATTCCCTTTCCTAATGTCCTGAAGAACGGTCCGGAGCACAGGCGGAGTGTTTAGCTAACCTGCAGGAAATGTCGACGACAGTTATCCAGAAAGTAGCTAAGGGTTACCAGAGATGTTTCTGAGATGTTCGCTAGGTACTTTTAGGATTAAAAAGTCAAGAAGGGGGTCTGAAAAGCTGCTAGAAATAGCGTCAAAGTCGCTAAGTTGGCAACACTGTGGAGGAGCGCTTCATTTGCAACTTAGGGCAGCGCAAGCGGGAGGAGCAAATAATCGGCTTGTTATGTTTTTTATAATCGTTCAAAACTCAGATCGTAATCGTGATTAAAATTCGATTAATTGAGCAGCCCTAATTTAAAAGCAGTGTTTTTAATAGAGAATTTACACGCAGACCTTTTTGTGGTGTAATTGAAACTCTGACTGCTAGGTGGCAGCAGTTTTCAGGTCTTCATGCTGATGCAACAAAATTATCTCACGGGAACTCTGGATGTGTTTTGGAAGTGTCTGGCCTCAGTTTTTAAATAATTTCAGTTTTTAAAGTTGTAATTCCTCTCACTTAAGTATTGTGATATATCATATCTTCTAGGTATTGTGATACACATCATCGGCAGATTCTTGCAAATGCATATCTAAAAGTATAAATTACATTAAAATAAATTAAACGTACAATTTTTAGGGTAAATTCTTGTCAATTTCTTTTGAAGTTGTTTCAGTGTTGTACTAAAAAAAACTTCCCTGCTTTGATTTAGCCAATTCTAGAGAGGACAACTCAACACCACATGAAGTTGAAACTTGATTGTGCCTTTAAAGTGACAGTGTGTATTTTTCCTGGCAATAGGGGGCAGTAGATACCTAAATTGTTGCAAGCAGACAGTATTTTTGTGTTGGAGTAAGACCTTACCAACGGATGTCCATTAGGGTCAAAAAGCCCTGGGGAGTGCTAACTTTAGCAATATAGCGAGCACATCAGTGCAACAAGTAAAGAGGTAAATGTGTAAAAAAAAACATTTGAGAATGACGACAGTTTTGTAACCTTTTGTTACAAATCTGTAATTGCATTTTTGTCCTCACGGGCTCCCGTAGAAGGAAACACAGCATCGCCCAGAGACTTTTACACCTGCTCCCATGTATTTTAGACCTGATTTTTATGGTTTTTTTACGGTGCCGCCATTTTTCAACAACTGGGAATCATTTCATTCATTTTCAACATTTTGATGGATGTTTCCAGAGATTAATGGTAAAAACTACACATTGTCTCTTTAAGAAAGGGAAATGAGCCAAACTGTCCACTTATAATTTAATAAATTAAGAGTATATCAGGTTTTACTGAAAATATTTTAGTAGAGAACAAACTTGGAGAAATGTTCCACATAAATGATTTATGGAGAATTCTGTTTAGTCTGGATGATCAGAGAGTATTGAGAAAAAAGATAACCAGCGCTGAGAATACTCAACAACTTCCCGATTTGTATGGGAAATGTCAGAAGTTAAAGCAGCAACGCGTGCAGAGTGTGACAGTGAAACCACATAAACACACTTCAGCTGTGTGTCGATTCTATTAACAGGAAACTCATCCAGTTCTTTGCTTCAAACAAACTCCAAACTGTACAAACAAAAGTAGATTTCTGCATTTTACCATAAAGCTGTTTGAAGACTATATTTTACTAACATATAATGCCTAATAAAAAAAGGATATTTATGTCAAAATGGAAAACAAACGTGATCAGCAAATCAGACATTCTCAGACAGGAAGTGTAAGTGAAAGCAGCATGCTTCTTGGCAGTGACCAATTTGAGAAACCTGTGCTTTGATACAAAAATCCCACTGTGCCATTTTAGCCAGGCCTCAGGGTGGAGTTAGCCCTGCGGCTTGTAAGAGCAGACCTACTCTATGCCAACATGCAGCATGGAAGAGCAGAACGTTCCCAGCACCATGCCTTACACAGATACGTGCCATTTCTGCAGCCGCCCAGTCTCCCCAGAGAGCATTTCACAAGAACCTCTCAGGAAAAAAAAATGCTTTCTGAGCCTGCCTCGGCTGACAAACTCCCTCTTAAATAATAAAACATTAAAACGCAGCACTCAAAACTCCAGACTAAAGAACAGAGCAATTTAAAGCTGTGCCCAGAAGGCCAGATAGATGTTTTGAAGATCAACACAGAGGAGTGCCTGAGTGGTAGGAAGGTGGCTGAGCTGGAGTAATTATATCATTAGAGCAGCTCCTCTGTAAGAGCATGCCATTTAAACCCAGGAGGCGGGCTGTGGAAGGGATGAATGGTAGTAATTGTCACCCAGGGCTTCATATAATTGCAGATGCAGGGGGGAGAAGGGGATTAGGAGCAGCCAGAACCACTTACTTGGGACTGAGTTTGAGAAAGATGTGGGTAAAACAGAGATATCCTCGGGGAGCACCACTGGACCTGGAAGCAGCGAGGCTGTGCATCAAAAATAAGGAGATAAGATTAAGATAAGGAGGAATATGAAGGCTGTAACTTAATACAAGTGATGCCTGAAAAGGCAATACAGCTTTTACACTTTAAACTAATATAACTGTTCATTTCATTTGGAATAGATCTCAATAAAAGGCGATCTTGGAGAGTTTTTGTACTTTTTACTGTAATAAAGTAGTTTAACACGCCTTAAGTCATCTGTGCTGAACTTACAACTGTACAGGTTTGTCACGTTTTCCTAAAAAGAAACTAAACTTTCCACCACTTTAACCGCTTTGATGTATATTTAGAAGCCGCTTCACACTCGGTCACCGCAGCTCTCAAGTTTTAAAGTTCAACTCACCCGCCGCTCCGAACACGATACTACCAAAGAGTGTCGTTCCACACCAAAATACGGAAAACCGAAGTAGCTCCATTTTTCAGAACCGGACTAAAACATCCCCTCTTTCTCATGAATTTAGCTTGAGCTGATTAAAAAATATCCGAAGTGAGACCGGTCCGCCTGTTGCTCCTCTGAACGCCCCACAGCTCCGGGTAGAAGATAAACAGCAGGCAGGACTTGCCCTGAATGACTCACTGTATGTGTGCAGCTTTTTCACGAGGCAGGAAATCTTCAAGAGGGGCTGGACAAATTTTCTTCTGCTTCTTCTGCTGCTGCTGCTGCTTCTCGGTCATGCGGGTTCCTGAACCGTGTCATTAGGCGGCTCAGACCCAGAGAAGCAAGGCGAGAAATGACATGTTCTAAAGTTAAGCAGATGCTGCGTGTACCTACACGTTTCACTAAGGAGAAAACACGGTTAACATATCTTAAAGATTCCAGAATCACACGAGTACATATTTTTTCTATTGAAAACCCCTGCCATGAACTGCTTACCTGTTGTAGAAAAACCGTTTTACAAGTGGAGAAATCCAAACAAGCTAGCCAGAGCGAGGCTAATGCTAAACAATTTCGTTTACTATCCTAAAACACGTCCAATATCAACATATGATAACACTTTACACTAACATTATTTTTAAATGACTTAAAACACAACAAAATTCACATTAAAATTATTCTAAGAAGTGATTAAACGTGCTTGTTAAGCCCCAAATACAAGCTAGCGAAATTTGTGCTTATGATAGTGGAGTAAACATCCGGGTACTTAGCCTTAAGTTGACCAACTTGGACAAACAACGCCACCCAGTGGCTGTTTGTGTCATGGACAGACGTCCATTGTGGGGCAGAAAAATAACAGGATTATAAGTCTTATTCATTAATATTCACGATATGTAAATGCAATGCATCGCCTCTGATTGGTTAACAGCAATGGGTCTCTTCCACTGCCTTCATTCACTCTGTTTTGTTGTGTAACAAATGCAACTCTGATGTTTTATCTCCACAAACAACACAAGCCAAAAATGTGTTACGCCATGTTGTGGAATTGCTAATGCTAATGGTTAGCATCTACTATCTGAAACACAATCTGCTCTCTTCTAGGCGCAAAATGAACACAGCTATTCATAGTGGCAAGGCCATGCCTGCCAATTTGATTTAGAGATGTGTGGCTTTCTCAGACCACAGTGTTTTTCCAACTATTTCCTTTCTGCAGCTAATGCAGAAAATGTTCACATTTAGCATGCATCTGCATCAGATCTCTGATTGCATTTCAGAATGAACAAGCATTACGTAGTTTAAAAAAAATTGTGAATGAGCCCTGTAAGTACCTCCTTTAAGCCCCATGAGATGTCTAAGCTGCAGCTGTTACACACCTGCTTAGACTCTATCAAAACCTGGATGGCTGGGAGCTTTCTTCAGCTGAATGAAGATAAGACTGAGATCCTCATCTGTGCCCCAGACAAGCTGGCTCCCAAAGTCAGAGACTCTCTTGGTCAGCTTGCTTCTCACACCAAACCTTCTGTCAGGAATCTTGGCGTGACCTTTGACCCAGCTCTCACCCTGGATTCTCATGTCAGTTCTCTTGTTCGCTCTTCCTTCTTCCATCTCAGGAACATTGCTAAGCTGAGTCCCATTCTGTCCCGCTCTGAACTTGAGACAGTTCTCCACACCTTCATCTCCTCACGCTTAGACTACTGTAACTCTCTTTTCACGTGTCTGAGCAGAACCTCCCTGAACCGTCTACAGGTGGTTCAGAATGCCTGTGCTCGGCTTCTGACCAAGTCCTCCAAACACACCCACATCACCCTGCTTCTCCTCCAGCTTCACTGGCTGCCAGTCAACTTCAGGGTTCATTTCGAGATCCTGGTTCTGGTCTATGGGGCCTTACATGGACAAGCACCATCTTTCGTTGGTGATCTTCTTAGTCCCTACACCCCCAGCAGGTCCCTGAGGTCCAGTGACCAAAGCCTACTGGTTGTGCAGCGCACCAGGCTAAAGACCAATGGTGACAGATCATTTGCTGCTGTGGCCCCCAGACTCTGGACCTCTCTCCCCCTGAGCCTGAGATCAGTGGACTCAGTGGTCTCCTTTAAAAAGCAGCTGAAGACTCACTTGTTCAAGCTGGCTTTTGTATGACCTTCTTCACCACTCTCTCTTTATTCTGCTCTCCCCACCTATTCCACCTTCCTCAGGATCCACTGATTTCCCTCTTTCCTATTCACCCTCTCTCTCTCTCTTTCTTAACATTTTTCTTTTTAAATCCCAATTGCCTATTTTTGCTCATTTTAAATATATTTTTAAACGTTTTCTAAATGCTTTTTTATATTTTTTTGTTTTTGTGAAGCACCTTGTGATTTTTATCTTGAGAGGCGCTATAGAAATGACTTCTTCTTCTTCTTCTTCTTCTTCTTCTTCTTCTTCTTCCTCTTCTTCTTCTTCTTCTTCCTCTTCTTCTTCTTCTTCCTCTTCTTCTTCTTCTTCCTCTTCTTCTTCTTCGATGCATTAAATTACGACCAATATCATGAGGGCAACGTATGTCATTCCAAAAATAAAACATGGCAGCTTCTTTAAACTAGATCTTGTGGCTTTACTGTTCAACATCAAAGAAGGAAGAAAAGTTGGTTTATCTTTAAGCTGCAAACTACTGTATAACCACTACAATCAGCTACAGAAGTCCTTTTTTTCCTTAAAAACAACTCCTGAATCAAACATTTCAGTGTTTCATGCAAACACTATTTAATAAACTTTTTGATTTTCATCATTTTTGCATTAGTTATTCCAGCAAAAAATGTTACTACTGCTAGCTGTTTGTGATAGCAAATATCAATGTGGTTCTATGTCAATAATCATGTAATGAGACATTGATGGTGACCACTGTCACGCTGTTTTAATGGCATCCTGTTCTGCATAGCCTCTGGGACACATCTCTGGTTCACAGTTTTGTTAGATGATGACATAAGTAGCATTCTTTTGTTCTTTAATCGATGACACACAGAGTTTAAGTCCACTGTAATACCCATAGATTACACATCTATTGCCTAGGCCTTTGCAGACATGTTTTGTTTTCTTTTCTCTGCATTCTTGAGCCATGGAGTCAGCTTTTAGCTCTGGCCTTATGACCCCAGAGTTAATAATTCTTTACAGATGACTATTTTCGTTAACTCCTTACTCACTGAGCTTTTGCAGCAGCTTTGTGTTACATTTGATAAGCCCGTTTCAGTTTAGGTCACATCTTAAAACGAACTGAAAGCAGCCAGTTCAGCATTCGTCTGTGCTCTCCTATCAGCATTTTGACTTAATAACATTCTGCTGGGGGGGGCGGGTTGGGGGGCTTCTTTTCCTAAATTCACTGATCCCATCTTATTTTTTCCTCTCAGCTTACAGTCAGAGGGTGTGGATCATTGTGTTTGTTTAAATCATAAAACCGAGCAGCACTGCAAGATGTGATCCAAACCACAAGGTGGAGATCTGACAGCACTGTGAGTCCAAACACATTCAATCCCCCACTGACCTCAGCACATGTGAGGCTCACAACATCCTGCTCACTGACCACAACATCCAAACAAAGGTCTTTTATAAATATGTCTAACTTTATAGCTTTATCTGGCTCAGTTCAACGGAAGGGACACAGAACTCGGGCGCGCCCGGATAAGCTTATTTAAACATGAACCCTTTTTGGTGCCTTTTTCTGTAACTTTCAGCTTCCACTTCTGCTCTTGTTTCTTAGGGATTCTTTGCCTTTGAAGTACTTTTTTTTAACCTTATTGCACAAACACAGATAAACAAGGACCAGACAAACATCCTGAGGGGTAGTATGCTCAATAGCAGGTGCCTCATGTTTCTGTAAACTGCTTTGGTCAAACAGACCAAGTAACACATCTCTGAACGTGTGCTTTGAGACAACACCGGTGGAAAAAAGGAGCTGCTTGCAAGTACAAAGATGTTGAGACGTCATCCTTTTGGCACCTTTCTAAACATCTTTAGGGGTAAAGCATTGATGCAGCATGTGTGGCGTGTCTCTACAACAGGTTTAACATGTAATATGTCACCAAGAGAAAGCAATTAATCAATCATCAAAGATTCATTGAGAAGTCTTAATTATTTAGGCTACCCAAATTGTCGACGGCAAATGATAAGCGTCATTTATTTTTTGAAGCTTTGTCTTCCTCTCAAAGCTGCACTGTACATTCCCTTGATGTTTGCTTGCAAACAACATGGGTGTACCACAAGGATCCGTGCTTGGTCCATTGCTGTTTACAATGTACATTAATGACCTTCCGATGAGCTGCTCAGGCATCAACTGCCAGATGTATGCTGATGACACCGTCATTTATGTGTCTACAAAAACACCTGGCCTGGCAGGAGAGCACCTGACGCAGGCTTTATCAGACATCTCAGAATGGCTAGAGTCATCCCACCTAACTCTTAATGTTAAAAAAACTGTGTCCATATGCTTCTCCATGAGGAACAGGCCTGATCAGGAACTATTTCAGGTTAGGATTAAAGAGGAAATCATTGAAGTAAGGAGTGATGTGAAGTACCTTGGGATCATCCTAGACAAACACCTAAAATTTGACAGTCAGGTTAAGCACGTCTGTAATAAGGTTAAAACAAATTTAAACTGCTTCCGTTTTATCAGAAGGAACCTGTCACACCAAACTGCTAAACTGTACATGCATGCACTGATCTTTCCCCACTTATATTGCATTAATCATGGTCACAGGCTTCATCCACCACTCTAAAACCTATAGTCTTAATATACAAGCAAGCAATAAAAATTATGGACCAGAAACCATTGAAATGGCATCATTGTCGCATTTTAAGGAAACATAATCTTCTCACTTTTGAAAATTTTATTAATTTTAGCACTCTAAGATTCTTTTTCAATTGTCTAAATGATAACTTATCTAAACTGTTCTCTGCTGTGGCCATCAGACGTCAGAGCTCTCATAGAACAATCACTCGAGCCTCCACCTGCAGCGATTGTCTCGTCCCGCGATGCAAGACTTCTTTTGGTCAGTCTGCTCTTTCTGTAAAGGGGGCCAAACTTTGGAACTCTCTACCTGCTGACCTAAAACTAGAAACGGACCGTAAAGTTTTTAACAAAGAACTCAAAAAATGGTTTAAGTCTAAACAACAATGTCTACATGAATAGTTTTAAAGTCTTACATTGCTGCTCAAATTGCCTTGTTTTATTCTTTTTTATTGAAAATTGATTGCAATTTTAATCTGTTTTCTGTTTGATTTACTGTTGATCTCTTTGTATTTCATTTAAATGTACTCTACTTTTTAGAAAGGTTCTATGGACAAGTGTTGCAAATTAGCACGTGTGCTAACACACTAAACAATGCATCTGGTTCGTCCAATGTAATTGCTGTGTCCATGTCAAATAAACATCACTACTACTACATGCACAGTCAACCATGGTGTCACCAGAAAAGCCCAAACAGGACGAGCCAGATGTGAAATAAAACATCTTCCATGGCCGTACGATGGTGATGCATGAGCATCTTGAAAGGAAGCACACTGACGCTGATGAAGTCGGACAGTCGCTTCTGTAAGCTACTTTGCTAGTTAGCGGCTAACATTAAAGAGCAAGTCACCCCCAAATAAACTTTTTTCGCTGATAAACTAAATAAACGAGTGTCTAATAGTGCTGCAGACACGTGTAGTCAATAATTTGGCACTTCAGTGCATCTTAGTTAAAATTTAAATATTCTGCCTA